TCTCCAGGAAGAAAGAAAATAATAATAATAATAATAAAAAAAAAATATAAGAGGAATAAAAAAGTCAAATCATACTAGAAAAATAGAGAAGCCTAGTGACTTTTCGTCGGATGTTCACGTATTCCTAGCGAGTACGAAACAAATGGTAAAAGAATAAAAAGAATAAGGGTAAGGAGGAGAAAGATCGAGAATAAGGTAAGAAAGAGAAAGAAAATCGATTTTTCGAGAAGCTGGTCGCATGCAAAACTGAAAACTCGACCGGTCGGTCAAGCAAGAGTCCAAAGTTTATTTCCGTTTCAGTCGAAACTTCAGACGACTCTTCTTCTTCTACTACTCCTGTTCTCGTGAAAGTGTCTTAAAAGAATAGAGAGTTTTGTTAAGTACCCTTTTACTTCTTCTTATCTTGTCTTGTAAGTAAAAATCACATTTTTCTCTCTCTTTCCTTTACACTTTCTTATGTTTTGGAACAAACTCAGCTGAGTAATTTACAAAAAGCACAAAATTGGGCCGTTACAGTAATATTGCAATACAATAAATATACCTAAGTGAAGCATATGTTGCAAGCGTTCCACTTTATGCCCATAAAACAGAACCTTTATGCATATAAATATATGTAGACTTATATTTAAGATTCTAAAAAACATGTTACTTCAGCAATCCAGGAAATAGCTTTAAAATATAGCTACCGACTACAAAATAATACATAAATGTAAACGAACTGGGAACATTCTATTACACTCAAAAATGTAAAAAGTACAACTAATCTAATTTTCTGTTTAAAATTTGAATAATATATTTGAAACTGTTAATCGATAAACTCAAAATTCTATTCGAAGCTTCTCCCAACTTATTCCAGCTTAACGTCAAGTATCTCTAGGCCTCTCTTTCTCTCTCCCTCTCTCTCTCTCTCTCTCTCCTGTAGGAAATTTCAGTAGCTCGCTTTTGCTTCGACCCATGTGAATCCAGTCCATCTACAATGTGTTTCATTTTACAACTCTTGTAATATACACGTTATGTTCCGATCATACGCAAATCAATCAATGAAATGAAATAATAAAACTAAGTAATATCTTTTTTTTTAAACATTTGTTCATATGAATAAAAATAATGACAATGCTAGAAATATTAGAATTAAATGAAACACCCTGTACATGGTATATACATTGTACATAGATAGATATACATATATTTTAGCGAGAACGCCATGTTCTATATTACTTCAGCTCTAGATTATAGGTAGGATACATCGAATACCGGAACTTACGACCCTAAATCGGATACGTAAGACTGCATAATTTCTCAACTTTGGATGCTAACACTTGCATACATATGCATGGGCATTTGAAGATCTAAGTACCGGATGGATCGTAGAAGAGAATTCCTTTGATATATAGATCCATGACGCAAGCTTTAACCATGAAATAAATCGTATCTTTGATCTCTCTCCCTCTCTCTTATCGATAAACATTGAATTATTTAAGCATACATGGGGAACATACAACTTTGTAAAAAGTATTCGAAAGATAAATATCATAAATTTTGCAATAGTATCAGAAATATATCTTCTCTCGCTAAACTTGGACAAATAAATTTTCATCGTAAATATTTTCCAGCAAATTTGTTGTTTTTTGTTTTTTTGTTTTGTTTTCAACTTTTTAAATAGCCCACTAAATATTTGTCGTATTTAAAAAAGAAATCTTGTAAAAGAGCAAAAATATTTCAGAGTAATGACCTGAAAAATACTTAGCCATTTTATTTCTTTTACGTTTGCATTTCTTTTTATTTCTTTTTTTATTTAAGATAAGAGAATAGAATAGAAGAGAAACGAGTACTCTCGGGACAATACTTTGACGATGAGTTTAACGTTGTAGTATCTTGAAACGAAAAATTTATGGAATTCTTCGGTGGAATTGAAAAATTAATCAAGTTAAGATATTACAGTCATTCCAAAGATTAAAAACTTTTTTCTTAGGCAGATCGCGATTAAAATGTTTGTCTTTTAATAATAGTTTTATTCGTTCAATAAAATTGTCAATGATATAATAAATGTGATTTAATATTATGCGAGTAAAAAGTAATAAATCAGTAAAGAAATTTAAATATATAATAAATATGATCGAATTGTCAAGTTTGTTCTTTTTTCTTTTTTTTTTTTTTTTTCAAAAGAAATGCATACGCATAAATCATATCGTTGAAAATCGACATCGACATTCGGGAATCTGGTCGTCCCCTGTTATCCGTTTCGATTAACAAATATAAAAGTTCCTTTCCTCTGGTCTCCCTTTTCATGTATTTTGCCAAGCTGTATTCAATCGAGTATTGACCGCAATGCGGAAGTCAATCCTGTATCGAATTTGTACGAGTGTCTCGCAATACAGGCGTTACAGAAACTGATTTTACTTACAATCAATGAGCTACGAACTAAATCATTATTTAATATTACAAAAATGAGAAGAAAAATGTTTATCGAGACGTATAAAAATAAATTAAACAACAAATTTGTATCCGTGACTAATTTAAATATTAAATTACATTAATAATTCAAACGAGGAAGAAAATAAAAAATGAAAATAAGTAAAGGATCGAGAACAAATAGTAATCTGACCTAAAAGAATGAATTATCAGTACTATTTTCGAATACCCGTTGCGCCTGTCACGAGCACACATACTCGTTTCGCTAAATCCATAACATTTACGTGCAATAACGTCGATCAGATATATCGGTCGTTCCATTTGAATATGGAAATTTCGATGGGATGATTCTCAATGAGACGGTACATATATGAACGCTATACTTTACTACCTTACTAACACACCTATATACACATTATACACACATTATACACACATTCACATAAATACATGCGGCGAACGTACATACTTCTACTTTTATATATGTATCCATTACTGTAAATGTATACATATATAGGTACACCTATATACCTATGTACAATACAGATGTTCGCAATATCTCACACTAATCGAAGAAACATTTTTCAACAAATTCTTTTTCTACTAATGACTCCCATATCTTTTTTCATTTTTTATTGCTCGATCAAGCGATATTTAACAAATCTTTCGAATATTTTCTAATTTCTCAGGATTTATTTACTACAAACAAAATTTCTACATGTTTATTGATAGATGTGAAATATATATTATGTAATTTATAGGAAGTATTTTTAAATTGAAATTAGATTAAATTACAAACGACAGAAGGGGAAAATTTGATCTGTTTGGATACTTGGGAAGGATGATTTTTTCATATTTTTTATTTGCTATTGAAACAGCTAATGTAAGTATACACATGCCCACTGAATTTTCGACGTTTTTTTTACACGTACAATCATTCCCTGCCCACACCATTTTACTTCTACCTCCTGTTCAAATATACACATATAAGTATAGGATAGGTTCGCATAAAAATGAAAGCTTTTTTCTTCTTTCTTATTAACTTTTTCCACGGTCACTCGACTCCAACAATGTCGACGATCGATGCTTGCTACTTTCTACTACTAATAGTAGTAGTAGTAGTAGTAGTAGTAGTAGTGATATCAGTAACAGTAGTAGTAACAGTAGCAGTACATAGTCTCACCAAGTACTACATATATACTCTCTCGGAAGTCGTTTTAGGGATTTTCGAGAGCCACCAAGAAGAAGAGGAAGAAGAAGAGAAGAAGAGAAGAAGAAAAGAAGAAGAAGGAGAGCTTCTCGTGGAAGTGCTTAATAACATTAGCGTTGGTTCGTTATCATTAAAACGTACATCGTTCCATAACGTGTCACAGTTATATATCTATATCTTTCTCACTATCTTTATTTTTCCATCTATGTATTCATCTCCCATTCTCTCATTTTTTCCTACATCCTTTTCTTCTTACTTCTATAACATTTTCCTTCTATTTATTAATTATCCTACTTAACTTGAGACAAAACTAATATTACAATCCAAAGACAATTCAAAGACATTCAAGAGAAAAAAAAAAGAAAAACAAAATGAAAACATTTTAATTACATCGCAAAGTTAACAAGAGAAAAGTACAAAAACATAAAAAGAAACTATGCTTAACCTAATTAAGTACATTATAAAATTCTTTCTAAGAAAAAAGATGGAATAAAATTGAAAAGAAAAATATAACCGTATATGTAAGAAGCAACCGAGTATATTCAAATCGAATTAGCACACAAGGTGTAGAAAAGAGCTTCCTCTCCTCCTATTCTTATTGTACTCACCCCTTAATTATCGCGAAATTGAATTAACGCCACGTCTCTGGCCATTGGCATTATCGAATTGGCCAACCCAAAAAGATGCCTCGAATGATGCTAACTCGCCTTCCCCCCAATCCCCACAATCCTCGTCTCCCCTCAAACCCCAAATGGGGCATTCATTCGACCGAAAATGAGGCCCATATGTGGCCTCGTTCAACGTTATCTCTAAACTCAATAGACTGCCCGGAAGTAAACAGGCTATAATAGTAGCTGAGAATGAGTGAGACGAAGATAGTTGATATGAATGCACGCTGATAGAAAGAAAAAAAAGAAAAAGAATGAAAGAGATAGACTGAAATATGAACAGGAAAGAAGAAGGTAGAGTAATGGGGTTGAGTCGGTGAGGGGTTAGGTAAGTGTGTTAAAAGAGTCAAGTAGCCACGAACACTCGAGACCATCTATTGGACAAGGCCATTGTTGCATCAACACAGATGTCATACTGAAGAGAAAAGACCATAAGCTCCAGTCCCATATGCTTGCCATTGTCATATCTCATTGAATCCTATGTCTTCAAAACTCATATAACGTATGGGTGTATCGATGCATATAGATAAATATTTAAATCTATGCAAATGTGTATGTGTGTGTGTGTGAGTTTATGTGCAGATTGAACGATTCTATCGAATGGAGGATATTGTTTGTTCATTGATTAATATTACATTAAGATTTGCAGTGAAAATCAATTAAAATAATGTTAGAAATAAAAATATTGAATAATTTGAAACGTTACTTACGTTACTCTTAACGTGTCGAAGGATGGAAGGAGAATGACGATCGATCCTTGCTAAGGTTGAATGCTCGGTGTTCGGTGCGAGCTCGTTTTTGTTTTGATCTCGACTAGAGAATTTCCTAGAAAAAATATATAGTATACTATTATATTTCCAATTTGGTACTTTTATTTATATATTATTATCGTTTTATATATAGGATGTTGGTGATTTTATTTATTCTCATAGAAATGGTCGATCTTTCGTAGTCTTTCTTACGTTGTCGCGGTAAAGTTCGAGAGAAGATTCAGGTGGAAGCGTTAATCTTCAGTGCTATCCTCAGGCCGCGTTAGTATGCAAATTCTTGTTAAGCAGCTTCGGAAGAATTAGCCGAGAGGATAAGAGAGAAAGCACGTAGTTATGAGCAGATGAAGATAACAATGCCTCTCTTGGAGGTTTGGATACCGCGACGCCATCATTGCTATTTTCTTTCTCCCTTCTTTTTAAAACACCAAAAGAGTACTTCTTTTTTATCTTACCGTTTGATCTTAAAAAACGATCTAAAGAACAAGCTTTAATTTTAAATTCGTTATCATTATAATGATATTTATTACTCTAATGATCTTTTCATGTTTATTCAATCTTTTTATTCTGCTTTATTTAGCGTCAAGATAAATTTGCTTGCAGTAGAAATGTCATATCAAAATAATATTAGTGTCAAATGAAATCTAATAATTGCACATTACGGTATATCCTAAAAAAGAATGTAATCTATCTATCTATCAGTCTCACTCTCTCTCTCCCTCTCTCTCTCTCAGCTTGGAGATAACTCAAATTATAATAATCCCTCATCTTCATAGATCTGAAATCCTCAGACCATGAAAATCGTCAGGAGCGGAGAACACACAGAGAATCTTGGAGACTCAGGTTCGAACAATCGGAAGAGAAAGGAACATGAAAGGAATTGTAGAGAATCTCGCGAGAGGTGCGGCGAACCACGCTGGGGAACCAAATGAAGGATAATCACTGAAACGAAGAAGGTAAATGTACCATGAGAGAAACCTATATAGAAAGTATACTGGGTGTCCCATTTCAAATATACGCCCAAAATATAAGCCTCTAATCCTATGTTTTGCTGAAAAACATTTTTCCAATAAAACTTTGACCATTTGAAAAGATTACATTATTTTCTTGCGAGTCAAGTTGTAACTTATTGTCAATATAGGAATATTTAGATATAATATTGGGACACTCTGTATATGGTTAAAGTATATACCGTAACATTCTCAGAGAAAAGCTTGGAAAGTGAAAAAGAATAAAGGAAAAGTAAGAATAAGAAGGAATAAGAAGAAGGAAGAAGAAGGAAGAAGAAGGAAGAAGAAGAAGAAAGGATTAGCGTAGTCTTTGTGGCCGGGTAAAGGTTAAACCATGTCACCCCAGTAACAGGTACGAATATATTCAAGTGTAGTAGTGTCTGTATGAGTGTTCTGGGATTAAATTCGCGACAAAGGATTCAAGAATTTAAGGTCCTTCCTTGTAACCGTTCTGGTCTTTTCGTTTGTGAAAAACGTGCTTGAATATAGGAAATAAAATAGGGAGAGGGAGAGAAAAAAGATGGACGTAAAGTTTGAAAAATATGTTAAATAGTAAAAATAATAAAAGCACGCATATGTGTTGAATTGCGATAAAACTCAAACTAATTTAGATTAACTTTGTAAAAAGCTTTACGTCGACTTTTAATCTTCTTTTGTGGACGCTTTGAAAATTGAACTGACAAGTTCATTGAAATAATTATTTTTTAACGTGATGACTGACGGTTAATGAAAACTAAGCCATTAAAAGGAGAATTTTATGTTTCAAGTTCGAACAGATATGAAAGCTAAATTTTCCAACGAATGAGAATAAAACGATAGTTGGACAGAGGGGGAGAGAACTTTAACTTTTCAGAATAAGACTACCTATGCATGAATGTAATTTAGTATGATGTGTGTACGTATGCGTGTATACGATATGCGCTTCTTCTTATACGTCGAATCTATGTATGTATATATGATTGTGTGTAAATAAGAGATAGAAATTTAGCTTTTCACAATGCAACACAACGTTGTACGTGAGTGTTCGAGTGTACGGGTGCATGCTTGCAAAGTGAAAACTTTCTCCTACAGTTGAACGTGCATTAAACATTTTTTGTTTTGAGTGTAACTGACGGTAAAGTTGCAACAAAACGTATAACTATCCGTCTATGAGATAACAACTACAATTGATAAATTGTTTATGAAGATCCTATTAAAGAGAGAGAGAGAGAGAGAAAAGTACAGTGGTACGTTCATTGAAGTGAAAATATGAAATTTAGCAAATTCCAACGTTTGTTCTAATTGCAATAGGTAGCAAAATGATGATATAATATATTCTATACGCGAATTGAATTCGCTTTGATCGTTGGGAAAATTTGTGTGTACATCTAGTATATTATTCTGAATATTTTTCACTTATTCGAAAGGAGACAGGTAGACGAAAGATTCGAATAAATGTGGTAGTTTCCATAGGATCGATATTCGTAGGATCCATAAAGGATCGCTGTCGACACAATAGAAGGTTAGGATGAAAGATTCCAAAGGAAAAGACGTAGTAGAGGAAGAAGAAGAGGCATCAGCAGCAAGTAAAAGATCTGAAAAGTTCTCGAGGACAACTTGGGATACGGATTTGAAGAATGTTCGTCAGGTTCGTTTTAAACTTTTTCTTCGAAACGTTCGAGTTTCGAGACGTTTTCTATCCTTTTTTTTTTCATCTTTTCCTTTTTATTTTTTTCCCATAGGATTCTTACGTTTCAATCGAAAATCTCGTTCTCGAGTAGATAAGTAAGTGCATACTTCTTTGGTACACTGTTAAATCTATCTTCGATAAATAAGGAAAAATGAGAGATAATATTATTTGAAAGATACTTATATGAGAATTAATGTTATGCTAATTATTCTAATCAAAAAAAAAAAAAAAAACTTGCTTATTTTCCATTTTTATTATTTTTCTAATAAATAACTTTTAATATTAAACTATCGATAATATTTATAAATAATAAATGATACGGTAAATGTGAGAAGAGCGGATGATATAATACACATACCGAGAAAAATAAATGATAGGATAAATTAAATTATTGATTTGATAATTACCTCTCGGGTGTACGTTTAATCTAGATATAATATAGAAATATAAATGGATAGAATTAATTTAATCTGAGAAATAATTACGAGCTTTATACGTATACCATGAATTATTCGATAAAATGTCAAATTTGTATGAAACGTGAAACTTGGAGTAATGTCGAAGTTACTTTTATAAACGATGGATCATCTGAAACTTCAAAGTGTCTATATAAGAGTTTTCTTACTTTTCTCAGATAATTATCTCCATTAGAATGTATATAATGTAAAATATAAAATATATTAATTTATTAAAATTCCTAATAGATCTGAACGGTGTTATGATTCATTGAAATCCCTTTAGGATATACTACACTTATAGATATCGGCTAAGTATGTGCATATATAATTATTATTTTTTTATCAATTTTATTTTTATCTTTTTTTTCGTCCATAAAACTTTCTACGTAAAACAAGGATTCCCCATCAGTTGAAATTAAATTTTAATTTGCCTCTAAAATTTCCCAAATTCGCCCCTCGTAACAAAACCACGAGGTAAAGTTCGTGAACGACGAGATCATTAAATAAAGAGTAAGCACCTCTTCCTCATTCACTCTTTCACTCTCCCTACCTTAATTTAAATTGCTGCGCTCCGATATCCTCATCATTATTTTCTGGATTACTCATCAACCTATATGCAGCACGTATACGCGCGATGTGTGTGTGTGCTTTCATATTACATTATACAATATATTATTAATATATTATAATCAAATATAATGAATTATATTGATATAAAAAGTACTCTCTCTCTCTCGCAGTTTTTATTTTGATCCTATCCCAGGAGTGAAAAATCATTTTTCATGTCAGATCTTGATCGATAGGAAGAAGTCGGCACTTTCATAAAAGAAAGCAAAGAGAAGCCCGTTAGCCGTATCATTTATTCTACCTTTTTCTCCGTACTTGCGAAACTGCATCCAACCTATATACAAGGAACCCCGATGAAAATGTCAAAGTGTTAAAGGGGTGAGTGGTCGTCTTTCGTGGACAACACACGTCGACGCGTTCAACGTTCAACGTTCAACGTTCAACGTTCAACGTTCAACGTTCAACGTCACGGACATTCTCGTCGTCCTCGACGACGTGGATGGATGTCGTCGATGTCGTCGTCGGCAAGCCGACCTAATTAAGACGCCGACTTGTTCTAGATGGTAATTGCCATGACTTCATACGTTATACATATTTAAACGTTCGCCAAAAGCTCTACCAGTGCATTCTTTCAAAAAGAAAAAAAAAGAAAGAAGATTAGATCTCCTTCCATTTTGACTTCATTTTGACTTCATTTTAACCACATTTTGGTTCATACGTTTAATCTCACGAAAGGAGTAAATAGCGTGTCTTTTTGCTCTTTGATGGTCGACTTTTTATCGGTTTCTTTTGAACTCGTTTAATCCGATGCTCACGGAAATATTCATTAGAAAATATGTTATCTTTGTTTTTGTTTTTTTTTTTTATTTAAGTTGATCAGTATCAAGTTCGTATCGTTAGCTCTGATTTTATCTTTCTCTGTATCTCTCGATGACTCTATCGCGATTCTCTGTTTTGCGTTGAAACCGCGAATCGAATGATATTTCCATTAGGGAAAGCGTAATGCGCGAAACGATGTCGCACATTTAATTTCACGAGCGAACTAATGATGGATTATTGCGCGGCCTGTTTATTTGCTCGAAACAACGTGCTATTCACTCCGTAACACCTACATAATCTACCTAACATATCTCTTCGTTTCTATACATTTGCGCGATAATATAGTATGTTCAAACTCGTCCATTTATTTTCAAGATTACAATCACATATAATTTATTCTTTATTTCAAAGATAACAAAATCGTCTTATAATCTGAAAATAAAAAAAATAAAAAAATAAACGATTAAGAGTAATAAGAGAAAGAAGGAACATACGAGAATTAGCATGTTTTCATTTGAACCAACAAGCTTCCTTC